TATCTATAAGAATAACGTTACTATGGATTTAAAGCACACGTACGTACCTAAACGAGCTTACCATGCATAACTAAGCTTGTGGTCTGATTTAAGAATCTATGAAATTAACGGGCTTATAATGTGATGGTTTGTTTAACCGCTATTAACGGCTGATTCGTTTAGACAAAAAAATATATAAATACTAGCTTAGACCGTTGATGAAATTGAATATTAAGGATTGTTTGGTCTGTGATTTTAGTATTGATAAAGATTGAACGAATGTGGATACACTATCAATAAACTATTCTAAGAGATGAAACTTAATCATAGTTCATTCAAGATTGGATTTTTACAAAATTGTTTTTATAAAGGTGTTCAATATATATAAGAAAATTATTTTGATTGCTCAAATCACTAGGGTTTCGTACTCATTCAAAGTTAGGGTTTTACTCAGTGATTAGGGTTTTTTGCTCAGACGGCTTCGACTATCGTGCTGATAATGTGTTATAGAATAAAGAAGAGAATAAGAATTGGTGTGTCTTATTCCATAGAGAACAATATATAATACAATAACTTGGAGAGAAAGTTAAACTTGGAAAACAAAATAGAACATTCTAGAATATGGGTCATCCACTAAAAGGAATTATAACATATGACTATTCTTTTTCTCTACTAAAAAACGCCCAAATGTTTTTGGCCATAGGCTCCAACACTTATATACGGGGCAGGTCCGTGCTCTTTGACTCAAATGGAGTAATGACACAATTGGATTTGTACAAGGAAAATGATATAATTTTTATTTCAGGGAAAATATATTTGTTGTCACAATGGAAAATATAATAAACTTCTCTATAAAAACTAAACCCTAAAACGTAATTCCTTTCTCTGTTTACAGATCTCGATCTCCTTTCTTTTTGCATCGACTTTCTCAGCGGCGGTGGCATATCATCATGATGATCAAATTGATCAAATTAATGGTTAACGCAATCGCTCGTCCTATACAAAAATTGATCATCTCTTATCTCCGGTTTCTTGCTGGTTCTCCTTCATTGACTAATCATCGCCACGAAACACAACTTGATCATCATATCACTATTATCATCGAATACTTACCCAATAATGGGAGGAATAACGAGCTCTATGACGCCACTCATACTTATCTTTTCACCAAACTCAACTTTGACTCTACCAAATTATACGTGAGAGAATACAACTTCCCCGATCTATACCAAGGGGTCGAGCTCTCGTGGAGGATTTTCGCTAGGAAAAATATTGCTATGGAATGCTTCGAGTTGAGATTCGACAAAAAGCCAAAGACTTGGTCTTCAACTCATACTTGCCTTTCGTGGAGAGCAAGGCCAAGGAGATGATCAAGAGCGAGAAGAGAAACCTCGAGATGCACACATACTCTCACGGCTCTGACACTTGGGAAACCAAGAGCCTCGAGAACCATTCAACCTTTGAAACGATTGTTATGAAGGAAGAGGTCAAGCGTGGCCTCATCGACGATCTTGATCGGTTCATGAGAAGGAAAGATTTCTACAACAAAGCTGGGAGACATTGGATGAGATACTTGCTGCATGGTCCACCTGCGACCGGGAAGACTAGTCTAGTGGCTGCTATGGCTAATTATCTCAACTTCGATGTCTATGACCTAAAGCTCTCTCGAGGGGTGAAAAGTGACTTTGATCCAAGGAGAATAATTCTAAGAGTCAAGGACAGCGCGATTCTCGTCGTAGAGGATATAGACTGCTCCTTCGAGGTTTCGTCTCCTTTTGTTGATTTCTACATCATTATATTTATTTTCTTGAATAAACTTGTGGACCAAACTAAAATTGTTCTAATCTTCTTTTTTTTTTTGTTGGTTTTGGTTGTGATCAATAGGGATCGATCGACGTCGACATTATCGCAACTGTTAAGTAGCTTAGCTGGATTTTGGTCGTATGGTGAAGCACGCATCATAATATTCACGACAAACAACACGAGGAGGCTTGACCCAACGTTACTACGTCGTATGGAAATGAAAATTTACATGGGACATTGCTGTTATGAGGGATTCAAAACTTTGGCGTCTAACTACTTGGGCCTCTCTCATGACGAAGATGAACCACACCATCTTTCAAAACAGAATATATATTTCGAAAAATATATATAATTTTAAAAATTTAATTAGTTTTATGACCATTTATTTAAATCCGAAATTTTTATTTTAAAAACTATATTATTATTCTTATAGTTACCTTAAAGATGCAATTTATATTTGCAATCTTCTATTTTGTATATTTGAATCATAAACCGTATGTTTAAAGATTATGATATTAAATAAATACATTTTATTAAGAGAAATTTTTATATATGCCATTTTTATATGCCGCTTTGCAAAACTGTCACAATTAAAAATTTTTTTGCAAGCATGACATTTTTTCTTTTCAATATTCTCAAATTACCGTTTGACTAATTTAACCTATTTTTTATCCATAACATAGATCTGAGATTTTTTTTCTCTTTCTCAACCAAATCTCATCTCTTTCTTTCTGAACCAGATCTCATCTCTCCTCTATTAACCAGATTTCGCTGCTGTGAGATCGGATCTTATTGTCTCTGATTTCGTCGTCGTTGTCGAAGAAAAACATGGATCTGAGATAATTTTAAAACAAAAAATTGAATCCGAAATTGGATCTGGTGGATTA